TTCAAGGGAGGTAATACTGATAATTTTTTTGTGCTAGAGTTGTAAACCTTGTCGCATATGATGTGGATGATGACAAGAAACTCATATTTAAAGTTTGAAGTAAACACCTTAAGAAATAAAGAACTTATAGTGAAAAAGTTGAAAAATCTAAATCAGAAATTTGGAAATTCAGGCTATTTGTTGCCATAGCAACCAGAATTTTCAACATAGGAACAAAAGGAAAAGACGTGCATAATTTCCATACTGCCATCTATCCATATATTAAGTTTCATAAAAATATTTTTAGTATTTTTTGCGTTGTCGCGGGATCCAGTTTTGTGGACGGACTGACGGACTAACAGACAGACAGACGGACAGAGGGTAAACCTTAAGTCCCCTCCGGTTAAACCGGTAGGGAACTAATTAAGACCTATTACTTAAGACCTATTACTTAAGACCTATTACTTAAGATTTATTACTTAAGACTTATTACTTAAGACCTATTACTTAAGACTTATTACTTAAGACTTATTACTTAAGATTTATTACTTAAGATTTATTACTTAAGACTTATTACTTAAGATTTATTACCTATCATTAAAGGTGTATAAATGTATATACATATTGGCTGTGTAACCTAGTTTTTCTAGTAACCTAGTGTAACCATATTTGACACTGCCCTAGAAATCATCAACACAACCTTTCACACCAATTTCCAGGATATTTTGACTGAAACAGTAGTCTCTCTAGTGTTTTTCCATATTGGAAACCTATGGCCATCCAGGCTGGGGCCAATTTTGACAATTTTAAAATAATTGGTGACACTAAACCTCTTTAAAAAGCATATTCATTTCCCAAACTTTTGCAAATAATACATAAATAACAAATTCTGAGAATTTTACTTTCCATCATACCTTTGAAAGAGATTGCCTTTCAGTTTTTTAGTGGCCATTATGCTTTGTACTAGCTGCTGTAACTTCTGTTTCCGCTTTGTACGATCCTGCAAAGCATAAAAAATACTTTACTAACTATTTCTTATCTTTAAAGGTGATTCTTTACCTTGTCTGATACTAAATAAGGTTTATACACTGCCACCCTGCTATAAAATTAGCCCCATTTTAATGCCAAGTCCATTATAATGCTCAAAGAACATATCATTTATCAATCTAACATTTTATTCTGAATATATACACACTATTTATTGCAAAAAACAATACTTATGGTACTTTTCCTTATTCATACATCCAACATCAAGTATCATTCAATGTGTTCTTTGTATGTATGCAGTCTTTTCAACTTTTAATCTTCAAACATTCTAAGCTATCACTCAGAATAAGTGTAGACATATTATCATCTGCTCTGCAATATACGCCCGAATTTATTGCAGGAGGCCACATTAGAAAGAAAATATCAACAACAGATAATCAATCTTATTTAATGAAAATCTAAAAGAGGATGAGTTTAAATAAAAATGAGAGGAAATATCGGTATGCAAAATGATTTTTAAGTACACAAAACACAAAAATAATAATAGAAGAAAATGGAACTTATGTACTGTTTTAGCTTATCTCAGTTGTTCTATAATAATGACAGTCACATCATGATAGTTTTCTTCTAATGGTTAATTCTTTAATTGTTAATAAATAAAAGTAGATGAACAGTTTGTTTGTTGGTGTTATTTTGCTATGTTGGGGATTTTTTTTAATTGGGAAACAAAGAGGATATTTTGGATTTGGAATTGGGCCTGATCCTGGCTAGTGGTAATATGGACAAAAAAGCTTTGTATTATAAGTGACCAAATATTTTGAGTGGATGTCAAAATGTAAATTTGTTTACATTTTGCTATATCTAAGGTAAATTATGTATTACACTTCAAGCACATAATTATCTCTTTCCAAGTAATTTGCTAACATGCACTAAATCCATTCTTACATTACCAAACAAATTTTGCACTTTTTTTAAAACAAATATTTATTTCATATCTGAGGAATATGCTTTTAAAGTAAATAAGATAATGGTAAAAAGAAGTCGCTACAATAAAGATCTTTTTGAATATTAAAGGATTATCTTAAATATTTAAAAATATTTAAAGTGACATTATGCCCATCCAAGAGTATATAGTGAGTGAACGGATAAAGATCAAAATAAGTTTTCATTTTGCCATAATACCTTTTAATTTAAACATTAAGTGCACATAAACAAAAAATAACACACAGATCCAAACAAAATTTCTGTAAATATCTATTAGAACTTACCCATAACACTTAGTTAACAAGAGGGCTATGATGGTCCTAAAGTCGCTCACCTGTATATAGGCCCCCGGAGCGGGGCCAGTTTAAACCCCAGGGCTTTTATTTGAACAAACTTGGTAGACACGCATTAGAAAATGTTTCATGCTAAACATCTAAGGTCTAGCTTGTTGGGTATTTTATACATATAGTTAAAAACAATAACACACCTGGGGCAGGGCCAGTTTTGACCCCAGGGCTTTTATTTGAACAATCTTTGTAGACACTTACTAGAAAATGTTTCATGCTTAACATCTGAACTCTAGCTATTCAGGTTTTTTCAAAGAAGATTTTTAAGTTTTTGCTATACACATATAAGGAAAATCAATGTCCACTGGGACGGGCCAATTTTGACCCCAGGGCTTTTATTTTGACAAACTTTGTAGACACTCACTAGAAGATGCTTCGTGCTTAATATCTAAACTCTAGCTATTCGAGATTTTTCAAAGAAGGTTTTGCAAGTTTTTGTCATACACATATAAGGAAAATGATGACCCGGGGGCGGGGCCAATTTTGACCCCAGGGCTTTTATTTCAACAAACTTGGTAGACAATCACTAGAAGATGTTTCATGCTTAGTATCTAAACTCTAGCTATTTGTTTGTTTTTTTTTTTTTTCAAAAAAGATCTTTTAAGTTTTTGTTATAAACATATAAGGAAAATGAATGACCCCAGGGCTCAGTTACATTTAATTATTGACTTATTAATGTATCATACATACCATCTGTAACTGATTTTCAACTTTATCCTTTTCGGTCATCGCCTCAATTAAAACATCTTGTTTCTCCCGCCAAATATAGCGCGGTTCAGATAATATGTAAATAATAAGTCATAATCTTTAAATAATAAGTTATAAGTTATAGATAATAGGTAATAAGTAATAAATTTTAAGTACTAAATTTTAAATAATAAATGTCCCTCCAGGGCTTCCGTAATTTTCTCTTCATTGTAAACATGAAAAAACGAGTCACTTGCTGATTTTTTTCACACTCTTCTTACATTTTTAAATATATTTTTTGTTAACATAAATTGTCATAATCCTTTTACGTCACGTCAAACTTTAAGGAATACTTTGATGATAGTTTGCAAAGATGTTCTTTGGAGTCCATGATTCCTAACATTACATTACTAAAGATTTCAAGACAGAAAAACCGTCAACAGTTGTGGTAAAATCAGAACTTTTCTTAAGGGATCAAAGTGTTCGCTAAATTTGCGTATCGATGAAATTCTCGAAATTAAATGTCCGCAAAGTAGGATAATAATTTTATCAGAACTGAAAAAAGAACTAAGAGATTTAAGGGCAGCCGTGACCTATTGGTTAAGGTGTCTCTCAGGGATGGTGGGTTCGAGCCCTATTTGGGTCACGATCATGATACCTCATTTGACATTAGAAGGAAGCGGACTCGAAAGTGATTTATATTAGTTGCAATAACTTGTTACACAATTGAGCTTAAATAAATGTTTTTAAATAAAATATACTTAACAAATATGTAGCTTCGCTATTTTGTCTGAAATGATGAATTTGCGAAAATTCTGGCATCGCTAAAATATATGATAATACAGTATATAGAATTAACGGCACATTTAGAATAAAACAGAAATGATATTAAATTTATTGAAAGTCTTTGTCATTCACGAGTAGATTTTAAACACCAATGCTTAATCTGACAACTGGTTTGTGGTGGCGTGGCCGAGTGTTTAAAGCATAAGAATTAGAAATCTAAAGGTTGATGGCCACCTTGTTTCAAACCCCGTCAGAGGCACGCCGTTGTCTCCTTGAGCACGAAACCTTTACACTCATTGCTGGTTGGTTCCAGGAACGGGTTCGAGAGGGTTTCAGTAAGTTTATAGCTTCCAACACAATCTATTAGTAAAATCGAAACTTAAGTTCATATCTTCTAAATCATAGCATTTTTCGGAATTCCTTCAATCAGAATGATCAGAAAATGATCAGAGATATACCTTTATTAATTTCAACAATAAACATAAAAAGGTGCTATGAAAATTACAAATTTTAATAAAAAAAATATTAAGAAACACATCTACAAAGTTATACATGCACACTAGTATAAAAAGAACTGATTACGTCACATTGCATAGAATGGAAGACATTTTTAGAAACGTTTTTTCGGAAAAAAATAGATAAGATACCAATCAAAAGTTTTTGAATATACAGTCTATTTCATGATTTTAATGATTAGAAGATATTTCTGAAGATGTTAAGACAGACACACGCAACAGTCGTGATCACAGCGAACGTTGACAAGGACTCAATGGTGGCTGCGTTACAAAGATTTGACGTACAGGCGCACACACTAACATCGTCTTTTTCCTCGCATTCGTCCTTCTTTACAAACGGTAGACAAGTTCTCACGACGGCTGAAAACAAATCAAAAGAATAAATTGTAATTTAAAGTCTCTTTGAGTCACCTTTATCACTCAATAATTAACACACACCACATGCACATTATTAAATAACGCCAGTGTAAATCATACGTTGTTTTTATTTATTTGAGCCGTGTCATGACAAAACCAACATAATGGGTTTGCGACCAGCATGGATCCAGACCAGCCTGCGCATCTGCATAATGGCCCATTATGCCTCAAAAACGCTTTTATGTCTCAAAAACTTTTTAAATTTGGTGTATTTCTATAGTATCAAATAATTTACTTATTGGCCAATTACGTGAACCATCATTTTTATCTGTTGCTTTTGGCCATTAAATACAATAATAGTGAATAAATAGTTTGTGTGAAAGACAAAATGCTACTTTGTAAACATTTTGCTACTTTCATGACAAAATATTTCATATTTATCGCTACTTTCTTCGGGTAAAAATCACCTAACATTCTCTTAAACCATTATTTAAACATTATAAAAGTTCATGCAAGCTTTTTTTTGTTTTTAGTAGTAAACAGTATTTGTTCCAGAGGCATAATGCGCCTTTAATGGAACTTCTGTCTACTTCTTTATGCATGCAAATCAAACTTGCCCCATCTGTTTACTTCTTTATGCATGCAAATCAAACTTGCCCCATCTGTTTACTTCTTTATGAATGCAAATCAAACTTACCCCCATCTGTTTACTTCTTTATGAATGCAAATCAAACTTACCCCCTTCCTGTTTGCAAATCAAACTTACCCCCATCTGTTTACTTCTTTATGAATGCAAATCAAACTTACCCCCTTCCTGTTTGCAAATCAAACTTACCGCCATCTGTTTACTTCTTTATGAATGCAAATAAAACTTACCCCCTTCCTGTTTACTTCTTTATGAGTGCAAATCAAACTTACCCCCATTTGATTTCGTCTTCAAACATGAACCACTACAGGTGTCCTTGGCCACGCCATCAGACTTGAACTCATCATTACACCCTAAGGCGCACTCGTAACATTCCAGGCCGGATACATGGTAGACTGAAAAAAAAAATATATAAAAATTCACAACATTACAACATATATCTTCAAATCTTAAAACCTTATAAAAGATAACCAATGAACTTCCAACGTTTACCCCACGTGATCTTCTAATCTAGATTGGTATTTCAGTTAAGTATCCCAAACCCAAATAGAATTAGACGAAAGAAAATTAATATCGTAATTATAGCCTCTTTTTCTATTATCCGAGTTAAAAAAAAAAACGCATCAAGCCACTATTTGTGTACTAATTTTACTTCGTCTAGGTTTCCTTTGGTTTCAAGAGTCCAAATAAATCGATATCATGTCCATATTGTACTCAAAATCTTGATACAGTGAAAGGTTACCCGTTTTCTTTTGCTCCTGTATGAAAAACTATAAACTATGAACTATAAACTATTAACTATAAACTATGAACATGTTTCAAATGTATACGTACAAAAGCTAGAAGTGATATTGTTATATTAGAACAGGATTTGAAAGCGAAATTGTGTAAGTATAGAATTCAATGTTGATTTTAATCTAATTAAAAGACTCATAGTGATTTTGAATCTTTGAATAACAAGATTGGGGTGCCATTTTCATTGTCATGAGTAGAATAATTCATAGGTGGTTTCTATTTTTTTATGTACCTTTAGATTCAGTGGTGTTTTTCTTCTTTCTAATAGCAATATTTAAAAGTCATTTATATAAGTACTCAGGGGTTACTTTTATTGTAGAATATGCAAAATTCAGTGGTGATTTTTTTATTTTAGTAAGCACAAAATTCATAAGTGATTTTTATTGTATTATGTACAAAATTGAGAGGTGATTTTTTTTATTGCATTAGCATGTGCAAATTTCAAAGGTGATTTAATTAAGTGTATTACAATGTACTAAATAAATCCTGTATTTTTAGAAATACTTAAATATCCTGTATGTATTTATAAGTCCACTTTATGGGGTGATTTGTATTTTATTATGTACAAAATTCAGAGTTGATTTATCAGTACAAATCTAGTGGTGATACAAAACTCCTTCTGCATAGACGACAAGAACTAGAAAATAAAAGCTCTTTTTGTAACATTGATCCACATTGTCATACAAGAATGCCATTCTACTATTTTAGAAATAGTAATTAATGTAATGGAATTTCTGGTACTCGCCTCTGCAGACAGAATAGCCAAACAAATACCCAGGGAAATTTACGTTAAACAAGCCATTATGCATGTATATAGTGATATACATGTATCATCCGTAGACATTTGGACAAGGTTTTCATTGCATAAAAAAAACACTAAGAGAATATAAAGAATTCTATACATATCAATGAAAAGTTAAGTGTCAGTTGTAGTCAGAATTATTCTACTTAAACAAAACACGGTATTCTACTTAAACAAATTCAGTATTCTACTTAAACAATCACAGTAATCTACTTAAACAAATTCAGTATTCTTCTTAAACAATCCCAATATTCTACTAAAACAAACACAGTATTCTTCTTAAACAAACACTGTGTTCTACTTAAACAGACAGTGTATTCTACTTAAACAAACACAGTTTTCTACTTAAACAAACCTAGTATTCTACTTAAACAAACACAGTATTCTACTTGAGCTAACACAGTGTTCTTATTAAACAAACACACTTTTCTACTTAAAGGTTGTTTGTATTTCACTTAAACAAACAAAGTATTCAACTTAAAAAAAAGGTATTCTACTTAAACAAACACAGTGTTCTACTTAAGCAAACAAAGTATTCAATTTAAACAAACACAGTGTTCTACTTAAACAAACAAAGTATTCTACTTAAACAAACAAAATATTCTACTTAAACAAACAGTGTTCGACTTAAGCAAATACAGTGTTCTAGTTAAGCAAACGTTCTACTTAACAGGCACAGTATTTTAGTATTATAATACATGAACAACTGAATGACCGACCGACTGACTGGGGTGTTGTTGTTGTTTTTATTTATTTATTATTTTTTTTAATTTGAATATTTACCACTTAATTATTACTGATTCATTTACACATACATATCTTAATTAAAATGAATATGATGAATATAAGTACGGCAAAAAACAAATCTATATATAAAACAGTACAAGTCAATAAAATATTGTTAGAATCATATTGCCATGTTTTACAAGTATGTATATATGTATAACTTCTTTAAAATATGACCAATTAATCCTTAGTTAAAAAACAACAACTTAAGCACGCGCACATATACACATGTACGCACGCTCGCGCGCACTCCCACACACAAAAGAACAACAACAAAAACACGCCATTACTTATTAATTATAAGTGTAGGCATTACTCATGCAATGTTATGCGTAAGCAATATCGACTTTTCCCATGTGTTGTATTTATTTACAGTAATAGTCGATGTGGTTTCTACGGGAACAGACAATAATTTTACCGTCATCGTAAAAACGATTATTGTTTAATATCAAGATGTTCTAAAGAGTTTGTATTTGTTTTGATTGATTGTTGTTTGTTTTGTTATTTCTTGTTGGTTGGTTGGTTGGTTGCTTGCTTGCTTGCTTGCTTGCTTGATATGTGTGTATGTGTTTGGTTGGTTGGTTGTTTTGGTTGCTTGATTGATTGATTGTTGGTTGGATGGTTGTTTGGTCGGAAGGTCGGTTGGCAGGTCGGTCGGTCAGTCGGTTGGTGGGTGGTGGGTAGTTGGTTTGCTGGCTGGCTGGATTAAATGATCATTTCAATAAGGAGCATACTATACTCGTTGTTGTTGCGGTATTTGTAATTTATGTTTTACTTGTTACTGTATACACATTTTGTTTTAGGTTGAACAAGTTAGTAAGTCAGTGTTTGACAGTTATTGCCGTTTAAATGTATGGCCTTGAAATACTTTCGCATGGCTACTATATTATTATTATTATTATTATTATTATTATTATTATTATTATTATTATAAATGATCATACCAGTTAGGAGCATACTATAGTAACTATACTCGTATGTTTTTGCGGTATCTGTTGAGTGTTGTTAACTGTTATTGTATACACATTTTTGCTTTAGGATAAACATGTTAGTAAGTCAGTGTTTGACAGTTATTGTCGTTTGAATAAATGAAATACTTTCGCATGGCTGCTATTTTATGCAAAACAAAGTACATTGGCCATGGACGTAAAGTAAAGTAATTGCATTTTATAGTCTAAATTTCATGCTAACGCACGTTCACCAACTTTACAGCTATTACCCCTGGTCATCGGGTTACTGGTATCTATCTAGCAATCTCCCTAGGGAGTCTTTTAACTCCGCTTACTGCAGCCGACACTTTGGTGCAACGGAATAATACCACCCTCGCAGGTACCCATTTACACCTGGGTGAAGTGAAGCAATCACAGGTAAATTTCTTGCTCAAGAAAATTAGCAGTGCCCCTGGTGGGGTTCGAACCATGGACCTCTCGATCCCTAAGCGCGCGTCCTACCACTGGACTACTGCTCCTGTGGACGTGAACTTCTTATTTTTATGAAATCGTTAGAATACAAAACAAAAATGTAGCACAACAAAGAGTGGCTTAAGTACTTATTATAATTCTAAAGATGTTTTACTGTCTAGTTTTAATCCTGGTACGCGGATGAATTTTGTTTTGGAGTCCGAATGAGAGCATTAAGGAAAAAAGCTTTATAATGTTTTCAGGATTAAACTAGGACGTTAACTTTAAATGTTTTTATTTATTTATTTATCTATCTATTTATTCATTTCGATTCGACGGGATGTTTGTATTAAAAATAAATAGATAAATAAATAAATTAATAAATAAATAAGGAAAAAAAGGTCAATCGGGAGCATTATGCAGGTGCGCGATGACGTACATGTAGTATCAAACCATTTTGTTCATCATATTTTGAATCTACTTTTTCCAAGAAGAATATACATGAAAAAAGTAACGAATATAAAATAACAAATGAATTTGATAAGCTAGTATAAGCCTTTTATGCGGATCTTACATATAGCCTGCCGGTACAGACCAGAACAACTAGCTCGAGAGTAACTGTTAACGGTCTGGTTACAACAGACAAAGTTTAATTCATTTTCTTGCATATCAAATCTTAATCATGTTACAAAAACTGTAAATTTCATTACGCACTTTTTTCGTATGTTAGCGTATGAATTTACAATTTCATTCATAATGGAAAATGACGGCATTCTAAGAACGCAATTCATTCATAAATGGCGCGCGGGAATGACGTCATTTATAGCACGCGACTTGTCCTTGGAGGGGAGCCAGGTTTTTCTAATACTGGTGTTAACAGCTGATAATCAGAAAATATCTGATAAGCCCCGTCTGTAACTAATCACTGCGCGACGAGATATTGTGCTATTTTATGTCTGGGCAATATCTTGCAGCGAGATTCTGAACCAGAATGAAAATATCTCAGAAGTCGATTTATATTGACTACTAGTATATCCACGCTGTCAGTTGCGTACCTCGGCTTATTATGAGTGTACGCCGAGTGCCGGTTTTCGGCCGAAGGATCGCCAGAGACTTATATATTAAATATAGCTATGTGCTATAACTAAGGATTTAGGGAATATTTAATCTATTTGTACTCTACTATTGTCTTTATCTATAGTTATGAAAATAACATCAAGTACATATGAGCCGTGTCACGACAAAACCAACATAATGGGTTTGCGACCAGCATGGATCCAGACCAGCCTGCGCATCCGCGCAGTCTGATCAGGATCCATGCTGTTCGCTTACAGACCCTATAACAAGTAAAGAAACTGATAGCCAACAGCATGGATCCTGATCAGACTGCATGGATGCGCAGGCTGGTCTGGATCCATGCTGGTCGCAAACCCATTATGTTGGTTTTGTCGTGACACGGCTCATTATATTGAATGTGAGAAATAGCACGAAGTCTAACGTGTACACTGTTTTAAATAGTTCAAAAGTTATTTGCTTTAAGAAAAAACGAAACATAACCAGGCGTCTCTTTTGTAAAAAAGATAGGTTTTATTTCCTTTTGTAACAAGTTTAGTTTTTTCTTTGTTATTTTTCTTTTGTTTCACCATAACTTAACGTGAGATATAATCAAGGAAAATATGCTTTAAAATGATCTGTATGACTTTAATACAAACACAACAGCTTAAATGTTTAGTGTAACGAAAAGGTTATCGTATTCACAGCTAAAATGTAGTATCGCACGATCATTTAGCTTCCTTAAAATATTTTAATGCGTATTATGTCAATGTTGTAGACAATAAATATTGTCTTTAACATTTTTGTTCTCAACTCTAGTCTTTCAATTTCCATTCGAAATATTTAAGTTATTTCATTACGAAGTTGAATGCCTCACGCACATAAAGCATGTTGGTATAAACAGACTCGCCAATTTGTTATCTTAAGTCGGCAAAAATAAATGAATTTAGACATGATGTGTCTTATATGGTTATACATTGTTCTCGTTGTATATTTGTCTATGTTTAAATATGTATAGATGAGACTACGTATAATAAAGAATATAAATATATACAGTAGAAACAATTTTCTGTAGTGATATATTTTGTAAATACTTGTATTCTATTTTACGGTCAAATAAACAAAAGTTGAATTTGGTTTGTGACGATGGATGTTGGCAATAGTTCACTGCAAAGATCTGATTCACAGTGTCAAAACTATTCTACATAATTTGAAATGAATATAAGTTGAATGAATATTACTGAACTTAAAAATAATATACTGATTTATAGTTACAAGGTAATATATAAAAAGACATTTCATACAGCTAACTCACTCCCTTCCATTTTGCTGCAAACGCCAAGTTGCAAACAAGATCTTTATTTTGCATATAAATCTAGATGTATAAAATGAAATAAATGTTTACTTTTCACTGATTTGATTCTTCTGAAAAAAATTATTGTAATTCATTAGACAATTCTTATCCTTGTTTGGAATTTGACGCGGTATATTAGCAATATAACGCTTAACTCAAGCTGAAAAAAAGATAAAATTCCAAAGGAATTGTTTGTATCATATTTTTACTCCCTTTAGTAAAAAAGGTAATGCGTATTCGAATAAGGTAACATCCTAAGCATACATGTAGAATCAATAAGCAGCTACGAATATGCTGATCGATCTTCGTCAAAATTAATGATTTCATTTTTGAATTTTTTTTTTCGAAACTTTTTCCTTATATCAGCCCGTGCGTATTGGCGTACCAGTAGGTACGCCACTAGCTGTGCATTGACTATATATACACCACTATCTATTAGCTCACGGTAATGGCATATGTCCATGTGTTTTGTGTAAAAATTGGTCAGAATTTACATATTTTAGTCATACACCTGAACAACAACGTTTTTGTACAAACTATTTAAAATTTGTAGTTTTTTACGTAAAACAGAAAAACATTTTTTTTTCATCTCTGCCAAAGGCCACAATAATCCATTAAATATACATCTAAAAACAACATCATTTAATAATGATCTTGTTGTTGAAAAAAATCTGTTTTGAGTTACAAATTAAAGATAGTGTCAATATTTTTAGTTGAGCAATGTAACATTTGATAATTGTAACTGAAAAATGAACAAACTAGAGTGTAACATCATTTATTGCAATTTAATGATGACATACTGTTTTTCAAAATGACCAACCTATGATTTACGTCTTGACCATTAAATGTGAAACTTTATTGCATATGCTGTTGTTTCCTTGTGTCATACATCAGCAAAAACCTAAACGTTACAGCTTATGAAATTTTTGTACCGTTGACTCATAATTTCTCTTCTTGTTTCTAAGCGTTAAGTATATCGTGAACTAACATCAGAAGAGATTATAACGAAGATTACAAAATTATGTTCCTATGTGTCTGTAAGTACAACAAAAAGCATTCTAATTTACAATAATTTTGCGAGACAATTTGAACAGTATTAACGATAATTAAAGAAAGTAAGAAAAACAAAAATATTTTCTTTAAATACGAGTAAATCTGACGGTTTGCCTACCGATAACAGAAGGACATAACGTTTAACAAAGTTGTTAAGTTTGCACACGAAAATCACATTTAATTTTGCATACCATTTATATGTGTTGCACAAATCCATACACAAGTAAAAATAAAACTCATCCGTAAGTACCTCAAAATTATAAAAAATACAAATTTGCAAATAAAAAATACAAATTTGCAAATAAAAAATGCATGTCATTTATAAGTATTTCAAAAGATCGCAAGATTTAAAAAAGATAAATCTTTAAAAAAAATAATATCTTACCAGCAAGAGAAAACAAACAAAAGCCTAATAGCAAATTCATCTTTTAGTATAACTGTGTAAAATCCGGAGAAACTTTGACTATGCCAAGCTATGTTAAACACGTCAAGCTAAAGCGAATGCTCCTCGTGAAATGCCCGGTTAAATATAGATCATTTTCGGGTCAGATTTTTCAAGTATAGATCACTTATGATAGTTTGGCATAAAATTCATGAATATAAATTGAACATGTAGCTGAATATGCTGAATTATTCACCAGAATATCAACAAAATATTATCAGACGTGTACAACATTGATTGCAAATAGGTTTTGGCGTTAAAAAGACACCGAAACATCGCGGACATTCTATCATCGTTTACTTGTAAGGTTTATCAGAGATTGACCTTGAGTTTGTTGGAAAAGGGAAAAAAAGTACATTTCGAATTATCGAAACGTAACAATTGAGAGGAACTTCTATGCTCCGAAATCTCTTGGTTGCTGGAAAATTGGGCCATTTTAATTTAACCATATTTTGTCACAATTTGTTATAACTTATAATTATGTTTACAATTGAAGCGAACCAACATACTTCCCTGCTACCAAATTAACATTATGTATCTGTAGGAACCAAATGGTACATCTGCTATTCCGAAGCTTATCAGAAAGGATACAAAAACTTATGTTCTTGCATGGGGAGTTCTTATTACTCAAAATTCATTCTGCAGAAATATTTGTGTTATACGGAATACGGAAGCCCATTAGTGCCATTTTATCTAAAGCGTTGGCGCACCACACTAAAAACAATATTCCGGTATCTACCGGGCAATGCGCTTGAATGATTAATTGCTAGTTTTTTCACCCATCAAAATTGGCTCCGATATACAATGTACATGTATATGTGACACTGAGTGAAGAGGTAAGAATCGTCGGAAAAAACGATATATTTTTTCTACTTTGTGAACTTGATTTCTGCAAGCGTCTATAGGTACTGCTCCAACATCGAAATTAGTTTAAAATCTTTCAATCCCTTTGTCTTAGGAGTTTTATCCTTTGACCAATGAATTATGTATTATGGCTGCTGTTTTTTCCTTATGTCTGTATCCGATGTATAATAAGTAATTAATGAAATAATAGTTCCACGGTCTTATGCATCTGTCCTAGAATTCTGGAAAAAAAGGAGGAACAATAGGAACATCTCGGCTATTATGATTGATAATCTCAGATCTGTTACATGTTATACGAATGACTTGCGTTATTCAAACTAGCTCGAAACCGCGCTAACGAAGAAAAAGTGAGTCGTTTTTACCATTAACAGTTCTTATCTTAGATATTCGTCATTAAAATCAGATCATCGTTTTTGCTCCGTTACTCTTCGCTACGAGCGTAGGGTAGTGAAGCGACAGTTAGGATATGATTTTAACGAGATTGAGATATTCGTGTAGCTGTAATTCTTAATTTATTGAAAACGTGAAATAAAGTAACATTGCGCTTGCAAGAGGCTTGCATACTAATAATTTTATTCAACCCGTTCAATAAATCTAGTATTGGATCAAGATTCATTCAATATCATTTATATACGAAAATATAGTTATCCAAATTCCAAAAACCGCTAGCAATTTCTCATTATTGCGCCCGCCGCATTGTTGATTAATATGTTTATAGAGATGCAGCGTATGGTGGCTGATTTGTGCCATTCGTGTTTACCCCCGCGACCTGTTAAAATGGCGGGGTTGCGAGGCGAAAACACTCATGCACCTATCAGCCACCATAGTCCTGTATAATCCACTGTCGTCTATGAACAATTAACTGAGTCATAATATTCTATATTTATGCAGATTTAAGGACAGGGATGACGAAATACAAACATCATCAATTTACGACTCTCATTTCCATCATGTTAGATCGATTTGTCCCAGATGTATATTAAGTTACTTGACATGTACAGTGACCGGTCATCTACAGACATTTCTAGCTATGCATGCATTGCTTCCTAATTCATATACACGGAATGATATCGCCGTGACATACTAATGAACGTGAATGCAAGTCTTCAAATAATGCCGTCACAGTGAAATCACTTCCTTACGTGACAAAAATGTACTTAAAATATGTACATGTCCGTGGCTTTGCACTTAGTATATGTCAGTGTTTATTAAGTGAAATTTTAACAATTTAAAACACAAAAAGAAAGTCACCGGTCGGAAGTGACCGTCGGTTCTTCATTGTTAAACTGATCAGTTACGCATGCGCACTTCGCCTCAAACTCTTAATTATTAAGAGTTCGACTAAATAAGTAAGTTGAAAAATCCCTGTCTATATGATTAAGAATGACATTTATTTTCTAAAAGAACAAGTGTGTAAAAGAAACGACTCAAAATCTCAAGTTCATGAATTGTTGTGTCTCGTGCCCCTTAATTGTTATTTCCTGTCAATTTTAAGTTTATAGATAAAATGCCTCAATGTCCTATATAATAAGTGAGTTAAATACGTCATAATCTCGGTATCGTCTGTCTCGCGAGACTAAAAGATCGTTAAAGTGGCGGCGCCCATCAATTTATATTTCGATAAATAAATAAATATTGTCTTAAAACAAAATATTCACTGTTACACGGTTAATTTCAACAGAAAACCGTCACGGTGCCTTTTTTATTTAAAGAAAAATATTGATATAAGACATAAATCAAAATATATCCGTCCCTATTCCTATAAGTTTTTTTCCACTTGTAATCAATACACAATTATATAATAAGCAACTTTTCAAAAATAATAATCATTATAAATTCAGTTACTAATATAAATCATTTATAATTTTTCTATGTTAATCCGTCACCAATATAGTGGTTCGTTTGCTTTAAAATCTTATTTCGTGTAGAAAAAATACATCTTCGAAATCTATAACAGGAATCCAAATATAATAATTTGAAAAAATAATGAATTCTGACCCTTCTTATTAATATGTAGTATATAAAAAACGTTGCATGTTTATAAAAAACAAGATATGTTTGTAAAACATGTATGCCCCCTATCAGCAGCCAATTAATCATGTGATAAGGTTATTATGCATGACTTCTGACCCAGTGATCAAACAATTAATAAGGGTTATCAAGTATCTACTGGTCATGACATTAACCTTTGACCCCTTGACCCAAAACTCAATAGGGGTCATCTGCTGGTCACGACCAATCATCATACAAAGTTTGAAGTTCCTAGGCCTAAGGGTTTTTAGTTAATTGATCAGAAACCATTTTTACCTACAAGGTCAATGTGACCTTAACCTTTGACCCCTTGACCCCAAAATCAATAGGTCCTCTGCTGGTCATAACCAATCACCATACCAAGTTTGAAGTTCCTAGGCCTAAGGGTTCTTTAGTTATTGATCGGAAAGCGTTTTAACATACAAGGTCAATGTGACCTTGACCTTTGACCCCAAAATCAATAGGGGTCATCTGCTGCTCATGACCAATCACCATGCCAAGTTTGAAGTTCCTAGGCCGAAGCGTTCTTTAGTTATTGATCAGAAACCGTTTTTACTTACAATGTCTATGTGACCTTGACCTTTGACCCCTTGATCCCAAAATCAATAGGGGTAATCTGCTGGTCATGACAAATCACCATACCAAGTTTGAAGTTCCTAGGCCTAAGCGTTCTTAAGTTATTGATCAGAAACCGTTATTACTTACAAGGTCAATGTGACCTTGACCTTTGACCCCTTGACCAAAAACTCAATAGGGGTCATCTGCTGGTCACGACCAATCATCATACAAAGTTTGAAGTTCCTAGGCCTAAGCGTTTTTAGTTAATTGATCGGAAACCGTTTTTACCTACAAGGTCAATGTGACCTAGACCTTTGACCCCTTGACCCCAAAATCAATAGGTCATCCGCTGGTCATGACCAATCACCATACCAAGTTTGAAGTTCCTAGGCCTAAGGGTTCTTAAGTTATTGATTGGAAAGCATTTTTACCTACAAGGTCAATGTGACCTTGCCCTTTGACCTCTTAACCCCAATATCAATAGGGGTCATCTGCTGGTCATGACCAATCACCATACCAAGTTTGAAGTTCCTAGGTCTAAGGGTTCTTTAGTTATTGATCCGAAACCGTTTTTACCTAAGGGGTCAATGTGACCTTGAACTTTGACCACTTGACCCCAAAATCAATAGGGTTCATCTACTGGTCATGACCAATCACCATATCAAGTTTGAAGTCCCTAGGCCTAAGGGTTCTTTCGTTATTGATCGGAAACCGTTTTTACCCAAGAGGTCAATGTGACCTTGACCTTTGACCCCTTGACCCCAAAATCAATAGGGGTTATCTACTGATCATGACCAATCACCATACCAAGTTTGAAGTTCCTAGGCCTTAAAGTTCTTTAGTTATTGATCGGAAACCGTTTTTGCTTACAAGGTCAATGTGACCTTGACCTTTGACCCCTTGACCCCAAAATCAATAGGGGTCATCTACTGATCATGACCAATCACCATATTAAGTTTGAAGTTCCTAGGCCTTAAAGTTCTTTAGTTATTGATCGGAAACCATTTTTGCTTACAAGGTCAATGTGACCTTGACCTTTGACCCCTTGACCCCAAAATCAATAGGGTTCATCTACTGGTCATGACCAATCACCATACCAAGTTTGAAGTTCCTAGGCCTAAGGGTTCTTTAGTTATCACTCGGAAACCATTTGGTCTACGGACCGACGGACCGACGGACCGACAGACCGACGGACCGACGGACCGACAAGTGCAAAGCAATATACCCCCTTTTCTTCGAAATGGGGGCATAATAATCTTAGAAAAAACATTGACTATTGAGTTGAATTTTGATTATTATTATCATTATTATTATTATTATTATTATTATTATTATTATTATTATTATTATTAAATTATTTCGTTTCATTTTGTGTGACGTTATACTTTCTCCAGGCTATTTACCGCATACATGTATTAACCCTCACAACTTTGTAATATATTTACGTATACATGTATTGTGTATTGAGTGAATAATATATCTTGAAACAAAATCAAGAAATTTGTTTAAGTTACTACACTACCAATAATCAGATCCATGCAGATTTCAATTTGATTTGAAATGGGTTTTTTTGTGTGTTTTTTTTTCTTCAAGTTGACCACACACATGGACATGCGCTCTTCTGTTGGTGAAAAGTCTTATCTCATAATAA